GTGGTCTTTCTTTCTTTCTTAGCTCCCACTTATGAGTGATATCTGCTTATTAAACTTACTGAAGTAAAATACAAAACGTACCAACATAAGGGCTCAGCTTGATGACTTTTCACAAAGATTAAGCCCTCAAGAAACACCTCTTATCCCACTTCCCAATCATTAAATTCCTCTTTCCTAAAGGTCACCATCCCAACTTATAACCATAAGTTTTCATGTTATAAGTTTTCATGTTGTTGAACTTTCTATAAATGGAATCATTTGGCATGTAGGGTTTTTTATCTGTATGGATCCTTTGACTCAATAATATGTCCATGAATTTCTTTCATTTTGTTGCATATAGAAATAGTACATATATTTCCATTGCCATGGTGAAGCAGTGTATGAGGGTTTCAGTTCCACGTCCTTGCCAACATCAGGTGTTGTCAGTCATTTTGATTTTAGCCATTTTGGTGAGTATGCAGTGCTATCACAGTTTAGTCAAATTTGCACCATCCTGATGAGGCCAGCATTCTTTCATTTAAATACATTCTTTTGTGAAGTACCTACTCAAGTCTTTTGCCTTTTTTTTAATTATCTGTCATATTTCTTATTGATTCATATGATCTCCTTATATGTTCTAAATATACGTAAGTGCTTTATTGGGTAGAGGTGTAGCACATAACCAATTCTGTGGTTTCTGTTTTAGTTCTCTGAGAGAGATCTTTTAATGAATGTAAGTTCTTTACTTTGATAGATTCCAATTGGTTAGTTTTGCCTATGGTTAGTCCTCTTTGTATCCTGTTTAAAAAGTTGTTTCCAATCCTTAACTCAAAAATATAGACTTTGGGCCGGCTCCGTGGCTCACTCGGGAGAGTGCGGCGCTGGTAGTGCTGGGGCCGTGGGTTCAGATCCTATACAGTGAGGGCTGGTGCGCTCACTGGCTGAGTGTGGTGCAGACCACAGCGTACCAAGGGTTGCGATCCCCTTACTGGTCAACAGCAACAACAGCAACAGGAAAAAATAGGCTTCTACGTTAATTTCTAGAAGCATCACTGTTTTCGCTTTCAAATTTAGGTCTATCAAATTTGGGTTTACAACCAAATGTAGATCTATAAACCATTGATTTTAGATAGAGTGTAAAGTATAGGGTCAAGATTATTATTTTTAACATGAATATCCAATAACCCAGCATTATTTATTGATAGGCTCATGATTTCTCATTGCAAAATAGCATCAACTTTGTGTAAATTATTTTGACAGTCTGTTTCTGAGCTCTCTATTCGTTTCCATTAATCTATTTGTGTATCTCTGCACTAAATCAACACTATCTTAATGATTCAGTTTTATAATAAATGTTTAAATTTGGTAATTTAAGTCTTCCAACTTTGTTTTATTTTTCAAGATTCGCTTGGGTATTCTTTTTTCTTTTAATTTATTTACACATAAGTTTTGAATTGGCTTATCAACTTACAAAAGAACACTCCTGGGATTTTGATTAAAAAAACGATGAATCTATAGATCAATTTGGGGAGAACTGACATGTTAACAATATCGAGGTTTGCCATCTGTGAATATAGTTTTACTTCCATTTCCTTAGATATTCTTTAATTTCTTTCATTGCTATTATGTAGCATTTGCTGTGAAGGACTTGTACAACTTTTGTTAGACATATCCTTAGGTATTGGATAATTTTGATACTGATCTTTGTATGTTAAGCTGTCCTAAAAAACATCAATATAACGTTATCTGTGTATTCTTTTGTATTCTCTGGGTATGCAATCATGTCATCTGCAGATAATGACCCTCTTATTTCTTCATTTCCAATTATTATGATTCTTATTTCTTTTTCTTGCATTTTTGTTCTGGCTAAGACCTCATGTATAATGTTTATTAAAATTGGTGATAAAAGGCTGTGCTAATCTCATTCCTAATCTCAGGAAAGAAGTGTTCGGTATTTCATTATTCAGAATGGTTTTTAAGTAGGTTTTTGTTGTTATTGGTATTCCTTTTCAGATTTAGTATGTTTCTTTCCATTTCTAATTTGCTAAGTTTTTTAAAAACATAAATAGGTGTATATTTAATTGACTGTTTTTAGGAATTTCTATAGTTCTAACTGGAAGTATGGGGCATTTTCCTGGGTCACTCTTCTATAGCAGACCTTGAATATCAATTCAGTTAGAGAAACTTTCTGTTCAAGCCCCTTAGCCTGTTAGTGCTGCCCTATCTACGAATTGGTGAACGACTTCGAAGGAAAAGTGGTACAGAATGCATAGCTTACCTTAGTGTGATCCCCTTTTCCTCCAGATCATGGCCACTAAAGTCCTATTTATTTTAGTAGTCCTCTCATGCCCTCAGATATGTATTTGAATATTTTTTTCGACCCAGTTAGTAAAAAAAAAAATCCTTAGCAGAATTAACTTAATGCAGGTGAATACCTCATGGCTGTAGCAGAAAAGTGAATTTTGTTTTTATTATTAATAGTGTCAGAATTTTCTTTTACCTTTACAATTTGCTATTGGTGGTACATGTAAATTAAGAATATTATCAAACTGGAGATAAACCTAACTGGTGATATATGCAAATTAAGAATACCTCTGAAAAGTCTTTTTCATATTGAAGTTATTAGATTTAGAAAAAAATTTCCACAGACTATCTCTGGCCTTGTACATTTCAAACATTGTTTCTTTTCCGCAGCCCACACATTTCTTGTGCTGGATGCCTCAGGAGACATTCATATGATGATCTGACCTCTGGCCAAGCATTTTTGCATCCTGACTTTGGATAGATCTCACATTAAGTGTAGAAATATTCTTGGAAGCTATTCGTACATTGGAATTGTTAGTAATAACTTACTGGTGCATGGAAGTAACTTCAAACTATATAAATATATCTCATTAAGTCCAAACTAAATGTTTTCCCCACTCATGCTCCTCTTAGCTAGCTCCCAAAATACTTGCATCCACTCCAAAACCACCCAATTCAAGGAGAGGTAAAATGAAAGGAAGTTGGAGCAGGAGGTAAGGGTAGTCTTAACCCATGCTTTCTCAATGGGCTGTCACCCCAAGGATGCAAAGTCAGTTCTTGGGAGGTAAAATAATTGTACTCTTTTTTGAATATATAAAGCACAAATATACACACAATACATAATCAAATACTTAGTCCATGGGTGGTATTAAAAATTCATGGGGAGGGGTAATTAGGAAAAATATGTCTAATAAGTCTTGTTAAGGGGGCAGTCACTTTTTTAAATGTTGAGAAGCACTATTTTAACCATCTGAGGTTAAAATGTCTTGCATTGCAAATTTTACCAAGATCTATGTCCCTGTGAGCCCATTGTTAAGGCTCCTCACAGGATCTTGGGGAGGACCCAAACAAATGAGGGTCTCTGGGGCCAAAGGTTCATTAGCTTCATGGTAAGACCACCACAGACACACACTGCAGCAGGACATGTGAGCCATGAGGCATCCCAGCTACAAGGGTTTCAACCACAGGTGAATATACAATGTGAGCCACCAAATCAGAAATAACCAAAGCAATTTCTTTTTAGTGGAACTACCCTTCGTTGTTGCTTTCAAATACAGGTTGAAGGGAATTCCTCAAAGCAGTGAGTTGGAAAAGAAAAGGGAGAGAGGAAGTTCTGAACCACAGAATGTGAAGAGAGGGGCCACAGCCTCAGCTCAGACTGCAGTCTATTAAACTGCCTGCAAGAACACACTGCTGGCTGTGGCAAGGCCCACGTTTAATTATGCAGCTGCTTAGGCATTTATAAAAAGTTGGAGGGTACCTCAAAGCTGTTGAATTTACATGATGCATGGCACTGAGCTTCTCCCAATCTGTACCTTTGCACAAGTATCTCTTGCATCTCCCTTGCATGCCTTCTCCCCATTTCCATAAATGTGTTACTATTCTTGAAGACCTAGGTCAGTTTTTCCTCATATCAATCTTGCCTTACTCTCCCATACGGTTGCTGTAGTCATCATCTATTCAGTATTATAAATATTTTTGAGAAACTTCTATCTTTCTGAATAGTCAATGAATTCTTTCAATAAAATTATGATTTTCATTCAGCTTCATGTCTCTAAACCAAGTGAAACAATGCCTGTATGAATTACTGAATATCAGAAGCAATTATAACCTGCTATCATTGTGGGGCTTTATAAGTTGAGGATAGGGAAAGAGTACTTAGATAATAAAGAGGATTCTACCTCTATACTATAATACTGAGGCTGTAGTTATATACAAGATCAGGACAGGACTGAAAACATATGGACAAGTACATATATACTTTAAGTTTCTGTCCTATTAGTAGATTACAAGTGAAGAATTAATAATCAACCAGTAGATCCCAGGAGAGAGTTCAATATAGAGACTACCAGAACTTTATGCTTGATTCTGTTTCTAAAATCATGTTTAATTTTGCTCAAGGCCTTTCTTTTTTTGAGCTGTGAGATATATTCTTACATGGAATAAAGAGCCATGCTGTGAAGACAGAGAGAACTCATACACTCAGCCATAAAAAAGAATGAAATTCTACCATTTGCAACAACATGGATGAGCCTGGAGAAAATTATCTTAAGTGAAACAACCCAGGTACAGAAAGAGAAATAACTCATGTTCTCACTCATAACTGGGAGCTGAATCCATAAACAAACAAGAACAATAAAGAGAGACAGAGAGAAAGAAAGAAAGAAACAACAATCACAGTAATATGTTGAACTGTTAGAAAACTAGAGGTGGAAAAGGGAAGGGGGGGCGCTAATGAGGAATTGGTCAACAGACACAAAGAATGGTTGTGTATTGTAATAATGAATAAGCTAACTATACTGATCTAACCATCACGCATTCTACGCAATTATTGAAAATCAACATTGTACCCCACAGGTATGTATAATAAAAAATAAATTAAAAAAAAAAAGAAAATGGGTCATTTTCATGATACAAAACCTTAGAAATATACTAAGAGTATGCCTATCTGGATATTAATTTAAATTACTACTGGATAATAGTAAAATGCAGCTTACCTTTCTTGCCAATGGGCCCAGTCTTGCCAATATTACCCATGTCTCCTATATCACCCAGTTCTCCTTTAACTCCTGAAAAGCAAAGCATGTCATCTTTATATCATAAGATTTTGTCTTCCCTGTAAAGATGTGGCTTACATGTGGTATTTTCTTGAAGGAAAAACAGAAAATTGTATTCTTCTACCTGTGATATCTCACATATTTCCAGTGCTATATTTTCTAACAGATTTATAATGTATGCATTAAAATTAAAAAGTGCTCAAGTGTGACAATCTTGAACATGATGGTATTAAAATAATTACTGATGTAATATTTCTAGAATGACTGCAGCAGAGGCTATTTAATCTTAAGGTTAGATACGGGGCTTAGTGGAAGCATTCTTGCATTCTACTCTGTCTCTGTACTTCTCTAAATCCGTTTTGGCTTCGCTGAGAGATTCTATTTCCTCTCTGTTTTAAAACAAGGTTTGACAATCTTAGCCACTCTAAAACAGGGGAGGGAATGTGCAGTCATAAAACCTAGTGATCAAAGAGATATCAAAGATTGTCCTGCTAAGTTTTTATACAAAAAACTATGATCCCAGGATCACTGAGTTCTTCCAAAGTTATTAATTTTAGTTTTTTTCTACAGTGACCTAAAAAATATTTATCAGTTATAAAGTTTTGTTTTTGTGAGAATAATTTTTCAATTGACATACATATTTATAGAATGAGTTTAAATCAGCATTTCTCAAATTGGAGTCTCAAGGGCCTGTGAGTCTTTTTCTTCCCTTTAAATTACTCAAGATTTTAAAATAAGTGGTCTAGGGCAACCATCTTGTGGTGGGTGCCAGGGAATATTTCAGGTATTCAGAAGGCACATGCTTACACGTCACTATCCAGAGCTATGTTTGGGCGAGGTTTACTCTCGGCTCCGTGAGTGAAAGCATTTTCTAATAGCCTTTGTGTTATTATCGTCATCTTTGCTCCTACTCCCCCCATATCCAGCCAATTGCCCCACTGTGTTATTCCTTGTATAAGAAAAGAGGAGCCAAAGAAATAAAGAGATATTGGGGAAACGTGTCTATATCAATGGGTAGGCAACTTTCTGTTCCTTTTTATTTTCCTCCTTAACCTCTAGGCCAGCCAGTGAAAGTTGCCTAGCAGTGGCTTCTGAGGGGAGACACAGCTAGGAACACAGCTGTGTTTCTAAAACTCATAGTTTCTTAGATAATCCCAGAGACTGCTATTCCCTGGGTCTCCTAGATTGCCTCACTGCAGCCATCCCTAAGACTGCAGCTTGAGAAACGTATCCAAGTCTCACGGACAGGCGATCTCATAGGAGCTCTGGGATGGCAAGAAACACATTTTATGCATCTTCGGGGCAGAGAGCATTATGAAAGCTGCTCATTTCTAGGGCAGGGGCCAAGAGAGAGAGAAGAGCAATTCTGACGTGATAGTGTCAATTTCGTATCATTTGACCTACCTTTCAGTCCCATGCGTCCTACTTTGCCATGTTTTCCCTCCTCTCCTGGATCTCCTTTTTCACCACCATCTCCTTTGAAACAAAATGAGAGAGAGTGAGCCGCTCAGATAGTCACATAAGCACATACTCGCCAGGGTAAGGTGCACATGGTTAGAGTCCATTCCAGCTCACTGAGTGTCTTACAACTAGGATGTGGGTATGTACATAGGTCACATGAACTGGACATTGAAGTAAGAAGAAGAAACTTCCAGTATATGTTTTCTTTTACTTTTCTCCACATCCAACTCTATTTGAAGAAATATCCTTGCTGTTGAATCCCTGAAAATTTGGTTTGGCCTGGCAAATCTTTATTCTTGCAGTAAAATCTGGCTAATTCTTGAAGCATGATTTATATATATAATTTACTTTGATATATATACAATTTACATTTATATATATAATTTACATTGATTATATATATATGATAAATAGAAATTTACTACTCTCTGAATGCATGCTTGAAAAACTCAAATTGAAGGCATGGACCAAGACACTAAGAACAGGAGTCTGAAAATGGGGAATAGCTGCAAAGCAGTTCTGTGTGAGCAGCACCTGCCTTAGTCATGGGTGGGTGTAGCTCCTGCACTTTGAATGATCAAAGAGGACTGAATGAATAGTTTTACCAAAAGATACCCTGGACGGTGAATCAGGAGTCCTGGATTTTAATATTATGTTAGTCACTGATGGGTTGAGCAAATCTTCAATAGGTGAGTGATGGGGTTTTTGACGTTGGAGTAAGACAGATCAAGACTTGAGTCTCATCTCTACCACTCACTATCTGGAGGAATGTGAATATATGACTTTACTCTCTGAGTGTCACTTTTTTCTCCTGCAAATTGAACTAATAACATTTACTAGAGTGGGCTCTTTAAGAAGTTCAAATAAGATAATATGCATAGAAGACCTGGGATGCAATCAGTGCTTAGCAATGGTGGCTATTGTTGTTACTTACTTTATGCTTCAGTTTTCACACCCTTAATGTGGGGACAAGGTCTGTCCCTCCACCTCATCCAGTTGTTTTAGGATCAACGAGGTAAGCATGTGAATGTGCTTTGAAAATAAAGAGCACAACACACACAATATTGTGACCAGATACCTACATTGTCACCAAAGCAATCTCAGGACATGAAAGAATCCTGTCTATCACCAGAGGAAAGAAAGAGAAACAAAAACTTACAAAGACAAAATGAAGTTCCTGGGATTGGACAATTCAGGGGGAGAGAAAATTGAGATGTTCATTAATTTACCCAGAAAAAGCATGACTAAAAATTCTCTATTTTTTTCTGGCAGCAGAATGTTAAAATTTTAAGTGGAAGCATGAGCAATGTATGGAATGTACGTACAGGCTGTGAGATTGGTCAAGCATTGGTGCACCTCACAAGGGAAGCTATAGCCTCCTTCCAGAGAAGGCTTTCAAAAAAGAAGGCATAGATTATTTTTGTGATCAGACCAGAGGGTAGACTAGGTGGCATTTTTCTTGCTAAAGTTAACAATGAATGTCTATCAAGCAACTATAATCTGTGCCAACCACTGTGTTAAAAGGACTTGACAGGTAATCATCATAGCATTTGAGGAGGTGGAAACTATTATTGCTCCATTTTATAATGAAAAATGAGACTTTATGAGGTTAAGTTGCTTGCCTATTGTATCATAGAGCTTGTTAGTGGTTGAATGAGGATTCAACAATGTATATGTTTCTGCCTCTGCAGATCCCTAACTGTAGACAGTTGTCCTTTTCAGCCCAGGCTTCTGTGACTCTCAGCAGATGGTGGATTTTAGAGAATCTGGCAACTTGCCAAATTTTTCAGGGAGAAAAAGGTAGATGCAGAAAGAATGACAGTTTTTGTTCCTTTTTAAACTAGAAAGATATTGGGAAAAAAGAAAAAAATCTTATTATCCCAATGACTTAATTCACAGGAAATGCATCCTTGAGGTGGTTACATAATTGAGACCCAGCTTTGCCACTTACTAGCTGAGAGACCTTGGGAAGTCCTTTAGTTTTTCTGAGCCTTGTTTTACTCACTTGTAGAATAAACAAAATAATACCTTTTATTTCCAGAGGGTTTTTAGCAAAGGTAAAGTTATAAAGGTGTTTTCCTTCAGGAAAGCCTCCTAGCACTCCTGGGCTGGGCCAACTTCTCCCTCTAATTACCTCTGTTGTTTGAAATATCCATTTAGACTGACTGTACTGGTTTATTTCTGCTTATTCTTTGCAGCCCTCTGTGACCTGAAGGATGGCTGGGATCATAGTGATTTATTGCAGCATCCCTAGAATTTAGCACAGTGCCTGGCTGACACTTAGTAAGTGTAGTTGAACTGGGATATATTTTCTGAGAACCATAAAATATTTTGTAAATGTAATAATAGGGTTTATTGAATACTATGTGCCAACACTGTTCTTAGTACTTGACATACATTCTCTCATTTGATCCCACAGCACCCTTTGAGATGGATACTATTCTTAGCTCCACTTCACAGATTAAATGGTGTTAAAGACAGGTCAAGGAACTCCTCCAGGGTCACACAGCTCACAAGAGGAAAGCGAGGATTCAAACTAGGGTATTTGCCTTCAAAGGCTATGTTCTGAACAAGCTGAAGGATTTGTAACAGATCTTGTCCTAAGGTTTCTGGATCTTGGACTGTTATTCTGTACAACTGGACTAAGGATGCATGTCCTGCTCACTAAAAGGCAAGATCAAACAAAGCCACATGGATGTGAATTATTGTTGCCCTGTTATTTCCCCTCCTTCCTATAAGCTTTTCCATTGATTTCCTTTTTCTTTTAGGACTTCAATATGTGGATTTTATTTATTATTTATTTATTATTTATTTATTTATTTATTTATTCATTCATTCATTCATTGTATGCATTAATGGTGTACAGTTTGTTGTTTCTATACATGCATGTATTGTATAATGATCTAATCAGAATAGCTAGCATGTCTATCAAATAAACATTTATCATTTCCTTGTGGTTATAACATTCAAAATCCTCTTTTCTGGCTTCCCATTCATTTTCAAGCAAGTGGCTAACTGGAGGCATCAGGTGAGTGACTTAGTCATCTGCTGCTCCCTGGTGGCTCCTGATGGAGATCTGGGAGGGTGAAAACAGGATTATTATTCTTGTGACCTGTGTGACTGCATCCCTGCCAGGTGGTGAGCTGGCTGATGACAGAGACAAAGTAAACAACTTGTGTCCTTGCCTTCAGCTTGGGTTCTGGGTTCATTTGATCTTTGGGACTTGCTTTAATGAGAACAGAGGGGAGATATAAAAGCAAGCTTTGGAAAGGATCCCCCACATGGCTCACAGTCATCTGCTTTTATCCTCTTGGCAATACTTCATTGGATTAGAAGGACAATTTAGACTTCCTTTCCTTCATTTAAAAATAGCCACTTACATTTGAAAAGTGAATGAAAAATTATAAACTGAAATAAACTAATTTCAATTTTACAAAAATGATTTGTTTTAGCTTCCCAAAGCCATAAGGAGAATTCCAGCACAGCACACACTTGACCAAATTTTCTTAAGGAGGACTTTTTTTTGAAACAAGCAATTAGTCTTTTAAAATTGAATTCTAGTTTGAAATTAAATACCTGGACACAGGTCGGCACCCTGTACTCAGAGGAAGTAGTTATTAAAAATTAGTGAATTCGTTTTGGAAATGCTAAAGAACATAGCCAAAGTAATCTTATAGACTTGGGGAAGTTGTTAGCAATTTTCCTCCTGATCAGTCTCAGAACTGAGTCGGATAGTGGCATGATGTGCTTTATTAATGAGGCAAGGACTCTTGCCTAACGTATGTCCTTCTCACCCCTAATCACGTCTTCTTTCCATACAGGCCAACTGCATCCTCGTTCTTGAGAATTTCAACAGTCATATCAATTATTCCACAGACCTCTCATATATACCCAGTACACTAGCATGATGTGTCACCCTACCCCCAAGTACTTTTCTTCCCCATTCATAACCTCATCATTTTGCTAAAATATTTCAGCCTCCTTGGGACCTGCTGTTGTTTGTCTTCTCCCCATTAACCCAGTTTATCAGCCCCTCTGGTGCCATCACCTCCCCCCACCCCATCTGTTCTGGGTTCTTCCAACTTGGTCACTTCCACACAGCTCTCCTAGGGTAAAGGGAGTGCACTACACTGTTAAGAGTATTTTGGAGCAAGCCATTTCATTTCTCTGGTTCTGGGTTCTTCCAACTTGGTCACTTCCACACAGCTCTCCTAGGGTAAAGGGAGTGCACTGCACTGTTAAGAGTATTTTGGAGCAAGCCATTTCATTTCTCTGAGTTTTCAGTTTCCTCACCTAAAAATGGGGAAAATAATCCCTACCTCATAAGATTGTTGTGGATTAAAGGAAAAGTTTTCAGCCTGCCTCATTTGGTAAACTCATCTGTTTTTGCTTTAATGAGAATAGAAGGGAAGTATAAAAGTGATTTTTGCCATTCTGTAGGATGTCTTTTCACTCTATTGATTGTTTCCTTTGCTGTGTAGAAGCTTTTGAGTTTGATATAATCCCATTTGTTTATTTTTTCTTTTGTTGCCTGTGCTTTTGGGGTGTAATTCATAAAGTCATTGCCCAGTCCTAAATCCTGGAGTATTTCCCCTATGTTTTCTTTGAGGATTTTAAAGTTTCAGGCCTTATATTTAGGTCTCTAATTCATTTTGAGTTGATTTTGGTATATGATGAAAGGTACAGATCGAGTTTCAGTCTTCTACAAATGGATAGTACAGATCGAGTTTCAGTCTTCTACAAGTGGATATCCAGTTTTCCCAGCACCATTTATTGAAGAGACAGTCTTTTCCCCAATGTATGTTCTTGGTGTCTTTGTCAAAGATCAGTTGGCTGTAAATACATGGGTTGATTTCTACAAAGAGCTCAGACAACTTTACAGCAAAAAACCAAAATAATCCAATTAAAAAATGGGCAAAGGAGCTGAATATACATTTCTCAAAGGAAGACATACAAATGGCCAACAGGCATATGAAAAAATGCTCAACATCACTAATCATCAGGGAAATGCAAAT